ATTATCCTGCAGGGGGAAGTGGGGAGTGTGAACCCAAACCCTCCCGACTCCATCTGAAATGTAATTAATTAGAGGCCTCAAGGTATCACAGACAAAAGCCCGTTTATATGGAAATTCCTCCTCTGAAGAGAGACATGTAGAAACTTCCTGATTCAGCAGATAAAACAACACATAAAATCATCCTGGCCTGTCTGACCAGACTACAGACAGATCTCATGCCATCCTCAAAATGCTTACTGCGGAGCAGGAAAGTGTTCAGGCTCCTGAACTTCTGTTCATTTTAACAGTTTCCCTTAATGAGATGTAAAATTATTTGCAACATTTACACACTGGATGAACACTCCAAAATTAAATCTACAGAATATAGGTTTGGCTTAATAAGATAGTTTCTCACCCTGTTTATTTCTCCCAAGTACGCAGCCAAACTGGGCTTTAAAAATACATTATAGTATTTCTTCAATATTAATTTAGGAAAAAAAAAAATCCCTGGAACTAAAAAGTACTCATAATTACCATTAGAAAGCCATTATAAATAAGCTAACACTTTTCAGTAAAAGTAACCAGAAGTCTATATTCTTAAAATAAACCTTGATGAGTAAAAGGAAACATACATACGAGAGGCAAGTGTGGGGAGTCTCCTGCCTTTCTCTCATAGAAAAGAGGAAACCTCTGGACCACAGGAAATAACACAAGTTTTAGAAAATCCCAGTGGTATGAGTGAAAACACTTCAAATAATCTGTAAACTCTCAAAACAATGCTAAAGGACAACAGATGTTCTTCCCCCCCACCAACTAGCTTATCTGAAGACTCACATACTCCTTGGGAGAAATCATTTATTTGCATTGACTAAAGTGGATATTCAGATCCAGACTCACACAAACAGAGACACTGAAAGGAATAGGTGCATAAGGAATGACAAGCTGTGCCTGTCCTCTTCTTGCTAATAAAAAAGGCTTCCCTGAATATGTGAAGATAATGGAAAAATACAGACCTTTGAATATACCTGTTTTTCAGACTTAATATCTTCATAATGTAAAACAGAGCTCACAAAAAAAAAGGTAAGTCTTAAAGTTAGGCTAAAAACTACTTTTGGAATGAATTTTTTCTTTTACTGTGTTTTTGTGGTATGTGGCTGACATACTGGTGCCTTGGCTGATATGCTGCCAACATAAAATATAATTAATATCTCTCCTGCCATTATAAGTCAATTCTGAAATTAAATCAGCAATTCAGATTCATCCTATTGTCAAGGATTCTTAAGCAGGAGCCTTTTCCCCTAACCATCTCTGTTAGGAAGCATTCCTGGTACATAAAAATTATAACAATATAGGCCCAGATGTGGCCATGAGAAACTAAAATGACACATGGGTATCAAAATCCAAAAGCAGAATCCCAGGGCTCAAATTTCCTCAAATCTGTAAGCAGCTACAACTCCAGACACTATCCTAAGTATTGATTATTTTATTCACAGACTCGTTAGGTAAAAGTCATCAATAAGGCTGGGACCGAGGATCAAAATCCAGCCCAAGTCAGCAGGTCAAAAAATAATTAGGTGTGATGAGGACTATGTTCCTTATTTCTCCCACAAGCGATCCAGCTTTATCAGAAGAAGGGATGAATGTTCCTTGATGGTCCTTAGCAAAGACTAAGCCAGGTGGCTGAGGACCTCTTCTAAGTTTAGGAGCTATGGACTTGAACCTTTTCAGCCAAAGCTGGGTGTAGAAAAAGTTTCTTGCACCTTGGGCAATTACTGCAAACCTTGTGGAAAAGGAAGCCTGGAGATCCAACTCCCACCAGTGATATCTGGATGGACAGGAGCACTGCCTGCGACTTGGGGACTCAGGTATGGAGCTCGTGTGCCCGTCTCGGGGTTGGGGATGCTCTGACAGAAGCTTTACACAGCTGAATTAAGTACTGAAATCCCCTTTATGTTATTGCACAGCATCTTTGGTGCCTTAGCCTTTGCAAATCAGTTCTGTAGCCTGCAGAGCTTGACAAGCTCTTTAATCTTTCACCTAAGCAACAGAAGGGTTTTCTCTTCTGTTGCTCTCCTGCAGTTTTTCTTCCATGTATTTTCTTGCACCTACCAGCCCAATATTATTATGTCAGGGTCTCTGGGATCCTGGAGATATTCCCACTGGCATGAGATTCACCCCTTCTTTACTCCCTTTTCTCCACCTTGATTGCAGCCTTTGGTTTACATTAGGGGCCCCAGTAATAGCCCGGACAGCTTACCAACAGATCAATATGCAGCACCTGCCTCACATCAAGGCCTGCCCTGATCAGCACTAACAGCACCACAAGCAGTAAAAAAAGCAACAGGGAGTTTGAGTAGGTCTAGGTGAAAACCATATACTTACTGAGGGAAAGATTATGGGGGGGGGATTCACCTGCTGCACTGGATCCAAGTGAGTCCAACTGATGTGAAGTAAGTTCAGAATCACAGGAGGTTTTTGTTAATATACTGAGGATGACCTGCTTCTGCCATCTTTTCTCTGCATTAACGTTATTTCGCCACCACGATCACCAATCAGAGCAACTAAATTGGGTGGTAGTTTAAACTCAGATTGAATTAGAGGAAAACTGATTTGCAAACTACTTTTCTCTCATAACTTCAAATAACAATTAAAAATTTTGTTATTGTGCAAAATTTAATACCTGAAGGATTGCACAAACCATAGCCTCGAAGGTTAAACAGTTCACAATGACCCAAACACAGCAGTAAAAATTTTATAGTAAAATACTTCACTGATGCAAACAATTCTATACCCTCTTTCGGCTTCAATTTCATCAAAACTGAAACTTCTGAAAGCCATGGAATTCACTGTGTTAGGACACAGCCCATATGCTCCTCACCCAAGAAACAACAGGAACTATCTGCAAACAACCGTGGTCACTGTCTAAAGGCCCATGTCGTAAAAGCAAAAATAACTCTGACAGTGATGCAAGGCGATCTTGGGAATCTTGCTCTTAACGTACACAGGAGGTGACCTGGGACTGACACGCACCTCTGTCCCCACCCGTGCCTGCTTGGCCCCGTGCCTCCCCAGCCTTCTTCTTTCTTTCTCTTCCTCTGTGTGATTCTGCAACATGTAACTGCAGCTTACAGTGCTACAGACTTTAATAATTCTGTGCTGGTAACCCACAATCGCAGTGATTTTGCAGTAAGTCTCCGTTGTTCCTGAGCAAAGAGCATCTACCCATACAGCTCAAGAAAGCCAGGTCCTATTGGCAAGATTAGCATTTTTAGAAAAAACGCACTAGTACACTAGAAAATATCAGAGATGAAAGTAAAATATTGGTATTGAAAAGCGCAAACAACACTGTGTGTCAAGTCTATAATCTATATTTATAACTATGGTTAAATGCCACTGTCTCCGGCTCAACCTCTGACTGACCCAACCACCCCCACCCCCAATCCAATAACTTATATCAGGGATTTTATGAACTACTATTTCAAATACAGTATGTTGACTAGAATTCATTAATATGTATTTAACAGTGTACTGTGTAATGAAAAAAATATGAGTATGTGTCTCTACAACATTAAGTAGTAATAATACTGTGTCAATGCCCTTCAGTTCTTCTGCAGGAGAAGGGCTGGGAAACAGATAATTTTTCACTCACGAGAATGAGGAAAGTAAAGCAAGTATCTTCTCATTTTAAATTTGGTTTGATCATTGCTATCCTTAAATGCAGAAATATCCTACCTGCTCTGTACATCTTACTTTTTAATTTTTTTTTTAATGACTGACAATTTTTAATCAATAAATCAGGTTTCACCTACTACATTGTGCAATCCTTCCACAAATTTGTTAATTAAATATGAATTCTCAGATTGACTTAGAAACTTTATTTAATCATTATAACCAGTTTCTTGATAAAGGCATTCAAAATAGTTCTGCAGGAGAAAGATTCAACAGAGCAAAACTGCAGTACTTAATTAAAAGGAAAAAAAAAAGTTAAAAGGATTAAGAATAGAAGTAAATTTCATCCCTCAACTAACCCAAGAAATAATGAGAAAGAAATAGAAAACAACCTTCTATCTGTATATTGATTGTTCACCCAGTCTCACCATTAACTGTGTATCAGACATTCTTTTTAACAGAACAAAAATAATAAATATCGAAGTTCAGAAAGTATCATAGTCTTTTGCTAAAAAAGTCAGAATTCCCAGTTTTTCTACTGAAATTTATGATTATACCATGCCAGAACAACCACAGGATCTCTTACAGACATATATATCAACAATTACAGTATGTAAAGCAGAAGTAAATAAATAATATGTGCAGAGATAAAACTCAATTAAAAAACCCACTAAGTTATCAACGAAATATGAAAGGGCAGAACACTAAGCCAGCTTTGATTTTTGCAAAATATAGGCAAGTGAAAAGAAGTAAATAGTTGTGTCAATTCTACAGGCTTATGATAATATGCTACTGAAAAAGCTGAATACTGATATGAGATCTCATGGGGGAGGGTACAGGCAAGGAGATTCAGAGATTGACTTGAAGCAAAAATTCAACAGTTTTGGGCTATATAATTTAGATGTTTACAAAATCACCTAAGCTTGAAATTCAACCCATAATTTGTGTCTAGCTTTCCCATGTAAATTCTGGGTACATATTACTTAAATATTCTTAATGTAAATGTATACCAACTTTATATGTTGTATCACTTCAATAAGAAAAAACAACTACATTCAAAATTATGAATAATTGTTTGGACTACACGGAAAATCTTGGTCCCACAGAGGCCAACAGCAGAACTCCCTAGTATGGTTAAACTCCCAGTAAGGTATGTTAAGGTGTATGTTTAAGATACACATACTTCATTATGTAAATGAAAAAGCCTAAATGTAAACTCAAACTTCTAATTGTACATGAAAACTCATTTCCTGAAGGCATATTCTTTCACTTTCACACATCACACATCAACACACAAAAAAAAGAGCACAGAAATATAAAGCAACGAATAAACAAATCAGAAGGCCACACAGTTTGAAGAAGAAATTTTTCTTTACTTCACAAGTATATCTCTATATTCAAATTCCAAGTTGCTGCACTGCAATAGGAATATGCAATCATAAATTTAATTTATCTTAATCATTTGCATGCCCTGGCAGACTGAGTTCAGGCACAACATCTGGTTTTCAGTTACGACCCTGGTTACCTATTCTTCTGTCTGGGTCCATTACAATGCAAAGTACTCAAGAAATACGCCTCAAGGTCATGTAATCCATTCTCTACTAAACTGTGAATTGCCTTATGATCGAACATTATCCAATAATGAATCAATTTGCTCATGATCCATCACAAGAACTCTTCAGAGTATACGTGGAATTTTTTTAATTTTAAGACAAACACACAAAAGTATTACAGTTACATAACTGAATTTGCTTCTCAAGAACTTAAGGTCAGCTTGGTAGTTAACCAAGTAAAAGAATGAACCAAAACTGAAATAAATTAGAGTACTGCAAATGTAATTTTTTTAAGCAGGACTTATGGCTTGGCATCATTCTCATAATTTTGCTTGGCTTGAGTGGCTGGGTTTAGTTCTTGACCTTAAAACACAACACGTGAAAAAATGTACTTCATCCCCTCTTGCTTGATGATGTTACAATCCAGCAGTTAAATACTGTCTATCTTCTTTTGAATACTCTAATCCATTTGAACATGGCCAAACAATGATTTTAAAAACTGAGTATCACAATCATAGTGTAACCTCTGATAAATTAACTCCTAAAAAAGCTCTTAGAACTAAAATATGGCATCCATAGATTTAGGTAGGAGGACTCTTCTGCATTGGTTGCACCAAAAGACCGCTTTTTTGGTAAGTTTCAGTGATAAACACTTCAAGAAGGAGGTACTGGCAGTCGTCTCACTATTTCCATAGCTATCTTTAGATAGGCTTTAGCCTGTAAAAACAGAAACATATATTTAGCACCTTTCATTTTCTATATAAAGGAATATTTTACATCTCGTTAGGTATCTGTTCTTTCACACACCTTCAAAGAAAAAAAAAAAAGTTACAATAAATGGGTTCAATTTAGCCAGTTTTGTGTTCAGGAAAAACGATGCATTAATACATAAAATATACAAGCATTATTTAAAATAGTCGGGGAGGGTGGGGAGTGTGTGTGTGTGTAAAATTTAACTTTGGTATTATTCTGAGAATAGAACTTGACTGAGCAATTTGCCTTAAACAGCAAACAGTATCAATATTCTTCTGGAGAAATGCTGAGAAGGAAGGAGACTCTTTAGTCCCACAGGTACCATTAATTATAAACTTCCCTCACCCTGAAGATTTAGATGCAGCACACACAGGATTGAGACAGAGAATCAGAGAAATCAACGACATTCCAAAAAAAAATTTTTTTTTGAGATAATTAATTAATTCATTGCAAACTAGACTACACTACAGAATTTCCTGTGCAGACATTAAAAATTAAGGTATTTTCAAAAAAAAGGACATCTTTCCAAAAGACTGAGGTGGGTATTGAAAAGCACTAATTCCACAGCACTAGAATCCATAGAGCAAAATCTCCCTCTCACAGCAACCTGCAGCATCTGGTCAGATAACCAGCTGGAAGGCAGAAGAACACAGAACTGTAAGAGTATCAGGAGTGACCCAAGTAAGCATACTTCCTTTATCATCTCTAAAAACATGACGTAGCTATGACTGTGGTCAGTCTAACATCAAGTATTCATAAAATTAATATCAAGAGACATGCACAGAAACACTGCCTAAAGTCCAACACAGAACAAACCATAAAATGAAACAAAATAATTCCTGCACCAAGCTCAACAACTTGTAGTTGAAATGAAACATGTTTTTTGGAGAGGTGTTCAATCTTGATATAAAGATTTTCAACTAAAAGAGTATCTTTGTACATGTGTGTATATATATATATCTTGTATGATGTTCCAGAGGTTGATTACTTCCATTGTTAAAAATGTACACTTTATCTATAATTTGAATTTGCTGTGCTTCAATTTCCAGCTGGTACATCATGTTCTGTGTTTGCCTAGTACAAAACTCCCCTGCCGTTCAGCTTGCTTCTACTCTGTTAGTTTGTAACCAAGCTACTTCATCTTCTTAAATCTGCACATGGAGCCCACACTGACAACCTTCCCTGTTTCACTTGAAGAAATCTCCACAATATTCCCTACGTCACCAATCTCTCCTGCAGCACTCTTAGACGGCTCTAACCTCGAGTTAAGTCTTGTATCCCTGATAGGTCAGCCAAGTGCCAAATGCTGTAGCTAGCATGCTAGTATTACCTAGCTCCAGCGTTATCAGCAATTGGTCTTACCTGCTAAGCATCCTTTATGTTGAACAGATCAGTATCTCATACATGCCCTCACAGAACTCTACTAGTAACCTGCTGTTGACAAAAACAACTGGTTTGACCCTTAGTTTCCTATCTTTGAATAAATCATTCAGCTATGAGTGAGGATCTATCAATCAACGTATGTGAAAGGTCTAAATGGAATCTCAGTGACTGTCAATACACCTTTTATTGCATAAAATCAACCCGACATGTATTGAATGGTTTCTCCTACTCATGATCTTTTCTGTGTGACATCTGTTGACAGAGAGCACAGCTCACTTCAACTGTTTACTCCATCATTACTAAGCAAAAGAAGATGGGATGCAACGGAAAAATGGAGAGGGTTTTTTTACTTCCTTTTTGGATGGAAAGCCAGAGGAGAAAAAGTAAAGGATGAGTTCTTATTTATTACTCACCACCATTTTCATTTTAATAGGATAAAAGTGAACTTTACAGATCAGTTTTTCTCTTTATGGTTTGGAAGCTCTAAAGGAATGGTTTATAGCCTGTCTTTCTGAAAGCATTTTTTTGCAGATGGACAACTTTATATTTAACACTAACATAGCAGTTAGCTGGAAGCCAAACATTCTCCTTGCTTTGAGAAGATGGAAGAGAAGTGCACAGGAAGACAGAATGCCCTAAAAACAGACCAGACTTGTTCATTACAAATGGTGCCTAGATGGAGTCTGAAAGCAGCACTGGGGAGGGCAAGGGTAGAGGTGGAAGGTGACATTCAGAAAGTCAAAAGGGCTGGATAATGGCCACATTACAGATTGTTTGCCTCTCAAACACTGGAACAAACACTGCCAGAAGAGTGCAGCATTCTTTAAATCACAAATGTGTTTAGGACTGAAAGGGCACTGTAGATGATGAAGTGACTAATCAGAGCAGAGATTCATTACTCTGTCATGGGATAAAAAACATGGGGTAGCTTTACACTGCAAGTCTTTTTATTAGCTCATCTAATTAAGTCCTATAGTAATCCTAGAGAAATGTCAGCCTTTCAGTTATGGCATTTCATTCTCCCTAAAAATCTTAACCCTGATGGAAGTATGCATCACTGCTAAGATCACTGCAAACTGACTGTACAGGTCATAGCTGAGTATGCCTTGTTCTCATGGCTTGGGTTGCATTGGCTTTACCTGCTAGCCTACCCTCCACTGAAGTACTCAGACTGCAAACAGCTCACTGCAGTGGCTTCTCCTGTCTAATGCAATGGCCACACAAATACAATCTACCCATCCACAAAGTCAAAACAGGTAGGAGCTGATAGGACATCCCCACCAACACTGGGGTTCTGTGATTGCTTAGTGACCTGATGTTCTGAACACCCTCTGCTCTAGCGAGAGCTCAGCTCCAAAATATAAAATGTCTGACCAAATCCGTTGGGCATGATTTGTCCTTAGTGAAGCCATGTTGGCTGTCACCAACCACCTTGTTATTTTCCATGTGCCCTAGCATAGTTTCCAGGAGTATCCACTCCATGATCTTGCCAGGCATAGAGGTGAGACTGACTGGCATGTAGTTCCCTGGGTCTTCTGGTTTTCCCTTTTTAAAAATGTGGGTTATGTTTCCTTTTTCCAGTCAGTGGGAACTTTGTCGGACTGCCACAGCTTCTCAAATATGATGGATAGTGGCTTAGCCGCTAACTTCATGTGCCAGTTCTCTCAGGACCAGTGGATGCACCTCAACAGGTCCCATGGACTTGTGTACCATCAGGTTCCTTAGATGGTCTCGAACCTGATCTCCTACAGTGGGTGGCTCTTCCTTCTCCCCATCCCTTCCTTTGCCTTCTACAACTTGGGCTGTGTGGCTGGAGCACTGAGGTAAAAAAGTCATTGAGTACTTCAGTCTTCTCCATATCCTGGGTAACCATGTCTCCTGTTTCCTTCCAGAGAAGGCCCACATTTTCCCTAGTCTTTCTTTTATCAGTGGTACTGACATGGTTTATAACTTCTATTTGAAACTATCCAACCCTGCAATCCACAGGAGAATCTATGCAAGTCTCAAATGTCTGGAATATAGAATGCTGTGAATGCTACTATACCTATAAAGAAGGATAAGGTACTTAAATCTGCTCATCTGAGCTGTTAGGGGCTTATACTTTATTCATTGCTAAAGGAAACTAGCAACCATGAGCAACAAATCAAATAGTGACTATCACAAGGACAAATACTGGACTTAGCTACCATCTGAATGAAAATGATAGGTGATAGATTTTGTTCTTATTACCAGTTTCTTGCTCAACCACAGTCCATTTTCCAGTTCAATCAGATTTTTAAGTAGCTTTATTTTCGATGGAAATTGCTTGTTACTTTGACAGAACTCCAACTTTCAGTGCGTGACTAGAGTTGCCTCCAATGTATGTATTTTACTGTGGTCACCTCAGAAGGCACTAAAATCAGTGAATGCACTAAACACCAGTTTAAATGAGCTTTCACTTCAGATAAAAGCTGCATGTCACCCAGAGAAATTCTTGATTGCTGAAAGAGACCCAGAGCCTTTCCCACTCTGTCCTCCCTCTGGGCAGTTCTACCGTAAGATTCTTCTTTTCGTGTACTGGCAATTCCTGCCAAGCTGCAATGAAGTCTCAGCCCAGAAAGGGGACTTAATGAGATGATAAAAGTCAATCCATAAATTACAACATGAAATGGAGGAGATGGGTAAGTAAACTGGATGCTTCCTGAATCTCATACCTCAAAAAAAATCCTTACTGCTCATGGAAAATTACCTGCTAATCATATATATATATATATATACACACACACATACATATGTATCTATATGTATCAGCAGTTGCAAAAGCCAAGCCATTCTCTGAGGGAGCCTCAGCTGGGTAACACTGCTAGCCCCAAGCTGCCATTATGCATGTACATCACTCAGGTGCCATTACATACATCAAAAAAGACATCCTGACCGGAAAACATGGTTAAGTACAACAGTGCAATTCAAATGCAGTAGAGTAACATCCTTCAAACAGACTATCCTTCCACTCAGCATTTTCTTCAGCAGTGAAGCACAAATGACGGTCTGATGATGCACTGTACTATCTACACCCTGAATGAAGGATTCAAACCTACACATACCAAACTGTTACTGTGATCATTCAAAGGAAGCCTTGATGATAAAGTATATTATAAATCATGTCATGCAGCCTTCTTCAGAGTTTGTGGATTTTTTTTCTAAAGATATCATACGCCGGAGAGACACTCTTTAAATGGAATTACTGACAACAGCTAAACAATGGCAAACATTATTTGCTACCACTACTTCAATTTTTCTCCAACTATTCCTTGCAAGCTTTAAAGGTTGTACACTTTTACCCTACTCACACATCACCCTTTCATATAGTTCTAGAAAAAAAGTCTTTCTGAATACAAATTCCACCTGTCCCTTTGGATAATACCACAGTAAGGTCTGTAACATTTCTAATTTAATTGAAAAGGGATTCTTAACCAGAATTACTTTCCTCTGTTACGTCAGACTGCTGATGCCTTGAGCCCTTGCTTTCCACCCCACTGGGCTTTTTCTCTCCCTTTATAGATCTGTGTGCAATTTACTGGCCTCAAGATCCTTCAGCAATGTATATGAGTATATGTAATCTGCAAGAGGGCTGAAAACATCTCCCACTGTTAAATGTGAACTAGACAGTAACAGAACCTTCCCCAAGAAGTATGTGGGGTTTGGATCACACACTGGTCTTTATCACAAGCTGGATAGGATGACATTAAGCATATTTTCCAGCCATAGGTCCTGATTTCCTTGCACCAGGAAGTTTGGCTCTATTCCTACCCAAGTCATAAATTCTTCACCACATTGCATATGAGTTTGTGCATACTGCAAAAGACGTGCAATCTGGGGAAACAACCCTCTAAGCTATATACTATTCACTGGGTTTGCTTCCTTTCACCTTCCACTTCTTTCCCAGTATACTCAACTTGATTTCTATGGAACAAGAGGGTGAACTCAAAGTATTTTTCCTTAATAGATTACAAATGTTTTCTGTAACAGTTTGTGACAATAAAACACTAAGGGACTAATTGACCACTGCATGTCTCCTGGAATTTGTTGGGTTTTTTTGTTTTGTTTTGTTTTTTGTTTTGTTTTGGTTTGGTTTTTTTGTGTTTTTTTTTGTTTGTTTTTTGTTTGTTTTTTTTTTTTTAAAAAAAGCAGTCATCCCCTTTATACTTTCTGACATGAGGGTTCACCATCTCTTTAATAATGAAGAAGGAGAAGAACGTGAAATCTAAACTTCATTCTTTCATAACTTCTCTGCTGTCTTGAATACATTATCACTGCTGATCCTTAGGGGTGTATCATCTCTCCTCCACAATTTTGGGTTTTTTTTTTTTAATCACCTCATTCCCACAACGAGAAGATGAAAGACAACATCTATTGCTTGTCTCAGCGTCCAGCATGTCTCCTCCCTGAAATGTGTATCCCAACAAGACTCCCTAGATTTTAAAAGTTGAATGGACACGCTGGTACAGTAAATGTGTTTTGTACTTGCTTGAGCTGCTTTTTTGATCTCGACACGGATGGGAGTTTGGTGCTTAATTGTCTGTTCTAGCAAGGTATTAACAAATCCACTGTGCCATCAAAGCTATGATATACCCAAAAGTTTCTAGCAGGAAGTCCTCACAAGATAACCACCAACTGTCCCATACCTCTCTGGATTTTGTGCTCACAGATGGAAGAGCTCTCAGGAACCTCTACTTACCTTTTCCCCCAGTACTGATGGAGAGTTCACTGGGCATTTAAGCAACTCATTTGGTGGACAAATGACTCCACTGCAATTAATCATGTTCTATATCTCTTGCTGTGTTTCTAGCCCTCTTATCTGCAAGTTTCAGGATGCCTCTTATAAACACCTGTTTTGCTGCTGGTTCCTTCTTACGATCCCTAAGAGGTTCTCCTACATCTGGGCAAGACCAATTCCACCTGGTTTCAGTGATTCCTCATTTGTTTTCCCTATTCTACTTTTTTCCCAACTGTTTTCCCTGTTCTACCATTTTAGCAGTGTTCCTGATTTTCCTTTACTAGCTTTTGCTGTCTATAGAGTCTCCGATATGTTTGGGTGAACAAAAAAATGAAGCCCTAGTCAGCCAATCCACCTCCACAACTTGATGGAGGAGGAAAATGCTCCCAAGACTCTCAATTATCTCCAGAAGGGTCTGGTAAGTCGTCTTTGTTGATTAAACTAAGAAATTATTAGCTTCTTGTAGAGGATCTTATATTGCTCCCAATTGCTGCGGTGTGTCTGTTCTCCCTCTGTTTGACTAGCCCCTGCCATTTAGGCTAGCATGCGAGTACAGCAATATTCCATTTCTACAGCACATAACAAAGTTTTTTCAATACAGAGTATTTTTTAAAAGCCACAAATTAAACAACTAAGCTGACAGAAACACTAACGTAGACAATGTTATACCAAGAGCAAAATAATTTTACCTGCATTGTTTATTTCTCCATGGGGACTGTCTCAAGCTTTACCAGAAGAGAACTCCAGCCATTAAACTTCACATCCCTTAGTCAGATCTTCCCATAAGTAGAGAATTTTTATGTATTCTGTGCCTTCCCCAAGCAAGAACTTTCTAAGTTCACACATGCACAATTCTACAAATAATCTTCCTTTTTTCTGGAAAGGTTGTTTTAGTTGCTAATATTTCCTTGCCAGTTGTGAAAAGGAAACTTCCCTTTTCAATCAACTACATCTAAGCTTTGAAATAATTAATTTAGACAAGTTTGTTTACACATTTTAAAATTCTAGTGTAGAGTGAGAGCTATACTTTTACATATCAGCAAGGCAAGTTGAACCCCATAGCAGGTGTGTAAGCAAAAAAAAAGTATTCGCTAAGATATTTTAGAAACACCCTTCTTTCTAGTCTTGACAGAGTTTAGAAGGTGTGACAGCATGCTGGGTTTCTGAGAAGGCAGTCACCATCTTTATCCCCTACTGTTTGAAACTGTTAGGTATTATTTCAGTACTATGATTCTGTATTTGATTTGTAAGTGTGTTCTAACAAAAATAGCAGAGAATTTTGTATTAAAAAAGCACTCTAAATTTAAGGGACAAGAGCAGCTCTTAGCATACTGTCCTCTATCTGAAAAACTGTGATTGTTCATGCATGAACAGCCACAATTTTAGTTTATTTGAAACACGGGGCAATGGGTGTCATGTATTAAAGATTAGAATCTAACCTTATATGACCTCTCCTACCATAAGTTATGTGCTAAGAATTTAATTTTTCTTTCAAAATATAAGTGAAAAACAATAATTTTCTCTATCTTTAAAATGAAAAGCAAACCAGGGATAAAGGAAAACTCCTTTTCATTTTGTAGAGATTAGTGACATCTAAAAAAACCTCATTCTCTGAGGAGAATCATTATCTCACAGACACAGTGGCAGAGAAGAATATTAAAAGTTTTCCCCAGAGTCACACATATTTGTCAATCTTTATTCCTCTTCATATTTAACTTAATTGCCACAAATGGTGCTTATAACCCCTCCTTTCATTACCAAGAACATAGTCCAAGGAGGAACAGATGGCAACACAACAGACTTTCTTGTCTTTTTTAATTTTCAGAATGCTATCCTATGTCTGAATTTTTAGATTGATAGTCCTGCAGGCTACAGACTCTTGGTTATTATAGATTTCAGATACTGTGAGCTATGAGCCTTCCATCTTAGTCTCCTCAGCCGTTTTTGCTTCAACTTTGAGCTAAGCTATGCATCTATTCAAATCTTCACACTGCTGATCAAACTTCCCAGATAGAAACCACCGTATGGATTAAAGATTCCTTTTCACAAGGATCTAGACTGAAGATCACTAAACTATTCCACAGAGGATCAGCATAGGCCTTGCCCAAACCTAACAAAAATATTGCATTCAATTAGAAATCAACGTCATGGTGCTGCTGTTTCTCTTTCAAAACAAAATGATGTATTACAATTTTAAGACTGTCGCTGTTCCTCTGGAATCCTGATCAGTATGTTAATAACACTGGATTAACAGTATTAATCCCCCTTTTTTGAGTGGGAACGAAAAAAATTATTTCAGCATGTGCCTAGCAATCATGATGTTAGAAAGGTTACTGATGTTAGCATGTATCACAAGTACATTCTACCTTATCTCTAATTGATTCTCTCATCTATTATCAGCATTAATCACTCTTTTTTTTTTTTTTTATGGTAACATGTAAACAGCAGTTAAGAGTGAGGCTGTATCCTGTCATGTACTGTGCAAACACAATGTGGCAGACAACACCCTGCCCTACAGAGCCCAGCAGACAAACTCCAGCAGAGGAGAAAGTACTAGCCAGGAAAATCTTACTCGATCAATGTTAATGAGGTTTTATATGTACAACTGCTTTTCTTCACAGACTTGCATATTTGACTCCCACCATTTCAACAATTCATACTTTCCTTTGGCAATAAAATGCTATGGTAAATGCACCAAAAAATCCATTTCCTCTTTTGTGTAAATTGCTCCACTTCCTGCTGAAAACAACCCAGGTACTGACAATACGCAGGTTTCGTTCCAAACATCTTTGGATAAGACACTTTGACAGCTTCCAGGCTCAACTACCAAAGGCTCAACTGACAGTTTTAGAGGACCTACATTAGCTGCAAGGTCTCATGAGGCTTGACACTGACCTTCCTCTTCTTGGCATGCCAGAACCTGGATCAAATCTTCGCTATTCTGAATGATTCAGAATAATTAAACAAAACCAAACCAACAGAAGCAGAACAGATGATGAGCATTCCAAAATTAAGGGCCTGAGTTACTTGATGATATTACCCTCTTTTACTTTATTTCCCTAAGTTACATTCAGATACACGTTTCTTTTCAAACTGCAATAACAAGAAGCATTCTATTCACTTTTGGAGGAGGGCTTTTTGTTGTTTTAAGTGCAGTGCACCAAACTTACGGCATCACTTTGAGGCTGCGAGATCACAACAGGCTGTCCTGAATCACACGTCTCCCGTATATTAACATGCAGTGGAATGTCTCCTGTATCAAAAACACCAGGATACACATATGTGAAGACCAAATGTTTCATTAAATGTTTCATTAAAATAGCCCTAAAACAACTTGAATTCAAATTCCAGTTTGGTATATTCTTTGAATTACTTAAATTCAAAAAACTAGCATTTTAAATTAAAATTTGCTGCAGCACAGTTTCTGTATATCCATAATGATTAATGCCAAACATATTCTGGAGTTTTCATTCTCTGAACAGAAGGAGTAGGCTTTGTAGTAATTTATTAGAGAAGGTAGTTAGCTTTTTTGCCTTGAATACACAGAAAAACACAAGCTGAGATACAAACTATTTTGCATACATTAAAAAAAATGCTTGAGTGTTAGGCACATGCTCATCATTCAACTTACTGTTCAGCCTGTCTCCTCATTTTATATTCTTTTCAGTGCTGTCCTAAGATTTTAATCACTGTTCAAAGACTGCTTTGAATACTTAATTTCCAAATAATAGCATTGTTATTGTCCTTATTAGGCCTTGGAACCAATTAAAAGGTAGACAACTATTCAGTTCATTCTTCTTTCCAATAGAAATCTTCTTTATATTCTGCTTTTCTAATGAGCAGGGAACTGTCAGAGAGTAAAGGAATGCTCTAAAGGAGAAACAGTTAGCAGCCCTATTCCATTCTGAAACACAGTTTCTGAAATACAGTTTTTCAGCACTAAAGTAAACTGAAGTTCCCATGTTTAGTTCATTTTTACATAGATAATTATGAATTGAAGACCAACTTTTCTTTAATGGCAGATATAGCTACATTTTACATCATGGATGGATGTGGACAGGACAGGCTACCTTAGTTCAATCTTGACTGGTCTCGGAAACTGTATCAATTTAATTCATACACTTTAGCAATATTTATTTAACCCAAACCAAGGCCAGTGTAAATTAATGAAGTTCTATATAGTCAGAAAAAGAAACATTTAAAAAGCCGTACAAAAATTGACACAATTTAAGAGATTAAAAACCAGAAAGCAAGCAGGAATATAAACAAAAACCCAAACAATAGCAAACACAAAAGCTGTGGTTCCATGATTAGTGAGCTGAATCTTTTAAGAACTTCAATTTGTTACTTATGATCATTACATAAATATTTCCTTCAAATTTAATTGTTTCTTATTTGTTTCAGTCATGAATAAATCTCTTTAGGCATAAGTCTGTGTCGTGGTTTGAGCCTGGTTGGCAACCAACCACCACAGCTGGTCACCCTCCCTTTCCCCTCCCCACCTGGGAATGGGGGAGGGAATTAGAGGGGTGAAGGGAGGCTCACAGGCTGAGATAGAAACAGTTTAATAATGGCAATAAAACAAGAACAATGATGATAATAGGAAAAAAAAAGAAACATAAACAGGCAATGCACAACGCAACTGCTCACCACCTGCTAACCAATCCCCAGCCCGTTCCCGGCCGGTAACCCCGAGATACCAAGATCCCGCAATCACAATCCTGGAAGCGAGAGAGAGCGAGCTCCTTCCCAACCACCCCTCCTCTATATAGCGAGCACGACGTTCCATGATACGGAATATTTCACTGGCCAGTTAGGGTCAGGTGCTGTGGCCGTGCTCCCTCCCTGCTCCCTGTGCCCTGGCGCACAGGCAGGACATGGGGAGTCGGAGAGTTCCTTGAAGTCTCAGTAGCAGCTGGAAACATCAGTGTGCTGTCAGCATTCTTCTCATACCAAACCCAAAGCTAAATCCAAAACACAGCACTCATCTAGTCCCTGAAAAGGAATATTAACTCTATTTCAACCCAAACCAGGACAGTCTGGTCACTTATTCATTAAAAAAAAAAGTATTTAGGGAGTCCTTTGAAAGATTTTTTAACCTTAAATGTTCCTAATAGAGCAACAGTAACTGTCAATCTCCCAGATGTTAGTTCCTACCATTATTTTCTTCAGAAACTAATCTTCACCTTTTTCCCAAGGACGTTTTGTTAATGAAAAAATACTTATTCACTATCAGCTTAATAACAATCTCAGAGAATTACAAAAAGAACTGCCCTGATACAAAATGGCAGCCTCTTTTCTTCCTCAGACTTACAAAGATGTGCTGGTTCTACAGGAGCGTAACAGGACTTGTACAAGCAAAAGTGCAAGTCAGAAGACAAAAATGCAATCTTAATAATCAAAACCTTATAAATTTAGCAGATGCGTGAAGACAGCAAAAGCATCTACACAGCTGTCTGGGTGATAAGGGTTTGAGGAAAACTAAGATTTCGCACTATTCTTCACTACAGAATGTAGTGAATGCTGGTTCTATTAGCAGGTACAGTTTAAAAAGTTCGGAAGTGCAAAGGTTAGGATGGAGTGTAAGGAAATTATCATCTTAGTATGTATATCAATGGTATAGCTTTCTAGTCACAGATATGGTCACCAAACTTCAAAAAACAACGAAAACAAAATAGGGGAATTTCAGATACAGGGAAAGAAACAATCAGCAGCACAAAGTCTCTCTCACAAACTTTGGCATGCTTTCCTTTAGGGAGCAAGAAAAAGACGAGACAATCAAAAATATATGAAATAATGAACTACGCTCGAAGGAGTACTGGCAACTGCTAATTGTCTTCTGTCATAAACAAAAATAAAAGAAGCATTCAGTAATATTACAGGCAGCTGATTCTGATCAAATAAAAGGAAAATACTTTTCTACCCTGCACATTGTTAGCTTGCAGAATTTGTCAGATGTTATCATGGAGATTAAAACCTTGTCAGGTTTCACAAGAGGACTAGGTGCTTGGGTGAACAAATGGAACAGCCACAGGTGTTGCAAATATAAGCAAAATAAATTAAGAAATACTAATTTAATAATTATATATATTAAAAGATATACATATTTCAAAATAAGTTCTCAAGGCTTTTGGGCAGAATTCAAATAACATTAGGATAAAACTTCCATTTGGGATAGATTATCATAAAGTCTGTAAGCAGTAATTCTTGTAATACCATGTGGTCAACCCTGGAAGGAGGAGCATACTAATCAGATCAAGTACTGTAATTCTAGATTTAACCCTTGGCACATTATTCTTAATCTTAGTCTGATCTTTCACTGTCAGTTTGAAGGTAAACTTTACTCTGTTTTTCTTCATACATCTCATCCACCCCCTGCTAAACCTGTAAATCTCTTACATCACTCCTAATTAAATACAATCACAATCAGTTCTGCCCTCTTAGGGAATAACAAAAAAATATCTATGGGACCAATGGCATGGCACATCATTTGTGCCTGTGTATCTCAACGCATGTTTGATTCAACTGCTTGCAGAGGATTTGCATCCATCCACATAACCCAGGGCTGCAGAAGTCCCCTTGGGCTCTGATCACAACTCATTATACATTCAGAAAACTAAAAGATAGCCCAAAAGCATGTCTTTAATTATGTGTTGCCTTGCTATCTTAAATTTATGTCAGACCTTGATGTTTCTGTGTTGATCTTTCTAAGTGTGCTTCCTGGTTCTTTTTAATGAATTAGCCATGGAAAATCATTGAGATGATTATAGTAATACATGGAAACACATTATTAGCACATGCAATTATTCCATTTACCAACTAAACTACACTGTGTTATATTCTTTTTTTTTATTGACAGCACAGGTTGAAATATGCTTTTTTAAAACAGCAATGTATATTTTAAAGATCAATGTATATTTTAGCTTATAGGCATGTCACATTGTTTAATCATGGCTAATTTTTGTTTTCAATTAAGATAAATTTTCTTTTGCAAACAACATTTTGCAATTCAGTGTATTCTTTTAATCTCAACACTTAAATACAATCATTACAGTCTGCTTGCTTCCACACAAGAGTCAAGATGTCTTCATATGGGCATAAAAACAACTGCTTTAAGGGATTTCATTTCAAATTGCCGTATTTATTTCAATATGTAAAAACTCATTTTATTTAAATTAATGAGAAAACTTCTACTGACATGAATGGACAGAGTTTAGGTCTGGTTTACAAGACCAAACAGAATTCTTGGTTGTTTGTAAAAATTGTTGTATGATCTATAATATAATGAATTTCAGGAAATATAGCACATCAATATCAAACAATTAATGTTCTGGGTTGTTTATACATGAAAAGAGATTTAAGATGGAGTTCAATAATTTTCATATCCAGTCCATGTCCCATTTATAAGAATGATCCTGATAAGGAACAGAGTATACAAAAATTGTGGCATTCAACTACTTAAGTTATTAGTTCTATCATATCTGAACACTGTCTGAATATAGAGTAATCCAGGATTATGCAGTTCCATACTTCAGTTAATGCTTCCCTCACACACACCATTGAAGTTTTCTTCAAAAATAAAATCATTTCTACATTCTTACCTAAAAAATCCAATCCAAGGGTTTTTGCTAGTTCTCTTACACCATCCGCTCCAAAAATGTGTGTCTCATGCTTACATTTGGGACACTGGAAAACACTCATATTTTGAACTAGTCCTAAAACCTGTTAAAGTAAAAGAAAGGAATGTTCAATCCTGGGCGTCAGCATCGGTTTTTCCATTATTCATCTCTGACAATAAATAAGAGATTATCAACAAAGAATTGACAAAGAGTACTCATTTATAATGCGAAGTAGAAGTAATCTTAGACTCATTAACATTGTTATCAACTTTCAGTCATCTCAGTTGCACTGTCATCTGTGCATTATTTCAAGTTTTTCACATTTATACCTCTCAAAGATTAACAAACTTATTTGTAACAAAAAGCACCTCTTTTACAGGCCTGTCTTTCCAAGAACTCTCCCTGCCAGTATTTAATTTTCTAACTCTGAATACTGAAAGAATTTTCATGTTGTGTTTTATAGCTTTGTAATTTGCAGTTTCAGGAAACACAAAATAAAAACATACTATTACAGGACATGACAGTATCAGACATTCTTTTAAAATATTTTTCTAAGTTATCCTGTAGAGAAATGTTTTCAGAAAGAACCAGATTTTCTATTCTTTTGAAGAGCAGAAACACATTTTAAAGATCAAACAAAAGAAATAATTATGTGAAACTAAGTAGCAAAACCCACAACATAAAAATCTAATACACACATATTGGGTACCTTTCTGCTGATGCCAGGTGTTCAACATCATCCTTGGAAAGGATGTCAAATGAAAATTTGCCAAATCATGCACACAAAAATCTTCTTTCACAATGTACAATAATGCTAATGACAGCCCTGATCTAATTTTATTCACCTAGTAAACAAAACTGTTCATTGAGGCAGAGCAGAATTTCTCAAAAGTGATGAAAACAGCATTCAAATACTACAGGGTGAAAGCTTCTACCCATTTGTTAATTAACAGGAGACCTGCTTTAAGAGGTTCCATGTTATAATATTTCAATTTAAGATTTTTATGTTATCTAGATATGTCACACACACTATGGCCAAGTTTTAAAAATATGAATATGTCTTTTCAAGTACAAAAAGCTGTTATTTATTTTGTAGCAATTTGGACTTTTAAATTTCCCTGAGCATTCTAGTTCTGTGCTTGAACAAGCTGCCCTAGTTATTAGAGCAGTAATATATCTACTGTGCTAACAAAGCATATCTAAAAGAATATACCAGTGTTTAATGCAAACAACTAAGTTATTTAATTGAGTGAATATACAACTTTTGGCGCCAAAACTGAAATTAAAGAGCATGTTATATATAATACCTTAATAAAAATTTCCTTAGATATAAGATAAAAGTCATCAAAAGATGATCACCTGTTTTTCTAAATCACCATAATGTGTTTCACACTATTTTCTAAGAAGTCTTCCTTTACTTATGTAAAACTTTCAGATGGTTTAAAACAACAGACATTTTAAGAAACAGTAACAACAACAACAACAAAAAAATACTTTCAATTTAACACCACAAACTTTCTCCATTTCCTACTCTCTCCTGGGGACTGCCAGGGGAGCAAGAGGAACATGTTTCTGTTTACTGGTACATTACTAGAAGTAATTTCTCATCCAGTTCTTAAACTGAGAGACATGACATACTACATGTCCAAGAGTAGAAGGTGCAGGGATGGTAAAAAGGGACCTCGACAGCCACAGTCTTCCACTGATGACCTCTGGGCAGGCATTCACTCTGCCCTCCTTAAATTAAAGTCATGGAATTTTCACTGTGTTGGTAAACTGAAGAACACTGGAAGGAATATTATAGGGCAAAAGAAAAACAGTATTTTAACTAAGGTACAGGGAAGCCATTTTCTACAGCACAGGAGAAAAAATGAGAATTTGACATTTATACTTTAAATTAATTCATCTTCGAGTATCTTGGCATTTGAACTTTCTGTTCTCCTCAAAGTAATCATACAACATTTATGATTCAGCAAATTCATAATCAAAGAAAAAGTTATGTAGTCTACTATTGTTTTGTGAATAGTTAAGGGATATTGCAGCTGTTTTGCTTATTCTTTGATAACCTACTAAGAAGTCCGTCTGCCACAGCCAATGAAAATATTGAGATCCAGCTGTATCCCCAATGCTATATCAGTTTCAGAGGTCTTATTCACTGTCCTTCTTTGTTTTCTTTTCAACGAATCTCACTAAAAGTAAACGAAATTTCAGCATTACACAATAATTTTTATTGTTTTCAGTGTTGTTCCTATCTGTCAGCCAATGAGTAGCGCATATTTATTAATATATAAATTATTATTCTGGAAGATGAAGAGATCTTTTTGAATATTAAATTATCAATTATAAACAGTTTAATGGAATCTGTGCAAATACACACAACTTTAGTGCTGAAGCGTATTTTTAGCATGCATATTTCTGCAGATATATTTACAGAAGAAAGATAGTTCACTATGATCTTCAGAGTTTTTAAGTCTACAAAGTAACAGGTCTTGCTAATGAAGTCAGTAATAACTCTCATTTCCTTGCTCAAATAATAGATCTGGAATAGCTTCAAAGCAGCTGTTAATGTCTACACAAACTATCCCATAAGCATGCATGAATTCTATTCTAGTCCTTAGTGAGCTCTTTTCCCTGTGAATTTCTCTGCAAACTTGGCTCAGTAATGACACAAAGACTAGTATGATGAGATGCACTGTAATGCAAGAACCAACCTATGGTAGTGGAGGAGAGGATAGTTATAACGCACAGAACTGAATTTCAGTCAAATCGTTATTTTAAATGGTGAAGAGACACCTATCAAGAAATAACAGGAAACGAAGAAACCTTTCATTATGAATTATCTGCATAGACACTGTTTCTGAATGTTTACATATTTCTTATGCTCAATTAACCTTTTCGTTACACGACAAAGCATCTCAAAATCCAAATACTCTACCTTGTAAGTTAAATAAAATATAGGAAGAAGATGAAAGGCCTCTGTCTTTACACAAGGAGACAATTCCGGAGAAACCCACTTAAGTCACTGTACTTAAGGACGGATGGTGCTGAGGCCCGACTCCAACCTCAGAGGGATTGACGTTCTCAGGGCTACAGATCCGCAGTCTGCCATCAACTTCCTACGTAGACATCAGTCAGTCACTTGATGTTTTAGTGCTTCAAGCAAATGTGCACAATAATATTTCTGCCTTCCAACCTTTTGTCTTATAACAAGCAATTTATGGCTCTAACATCTGTTCCCAAAAGGAAACCATGATTTTGGCTGTGTACTGTATACACTACAGAAATACCAGTAAATACATAGACAAATAAACCAATTTTAGTACATCTTCAAAGGAAACACATAGCTGAGTTTACATGAGCAGTTTTTTGAAACCTGTGTGTCCTGGGTTTGAGTGAGTGGTGGGGTTTTTTGGTAGCATGGGAGGGGGCTATAGGGGAGGTCCCCTGTGAGAAGCTTCTCGAAAGCTCCCCCAGCTCCAAGTCAGCTCCACCTCTGCACCAAGGCTGAGCCAATCAGCTGCACCTCTGCAATAATGAATTTAAGAAGGGACCTGGCGAGGAGGAGTCTGACTTGTGAGGAGGAGTTGCAGCAGCTGTGTGAAGATCAAGGTCAGTGGAGGAATGGATGAAGAAAAGGAGGGGGGAGGTGTGCCAGAGCAGAGACCCCCCTGTATCCTGTGGTGAGACGGCAGGGTGGCCCCCCCCTGCCACCCATGGAGATCTACGGTGGAACAGACACTGATTAGTGGCCTGTGTTTTGCATGGTTGATCAAGGTGCCTGTGCCCGAAGAAGGCCGGGGTCTCATGGGAAAAGGCAGCCCCGCTGCTGTAATTCAGCGCTGAGAGGATTGCAGTAGTGCGGGGGTAGTCCCACGCTGGAGCAGCTCGGGAAGGGCTGCAGCCGTGGGAGGGAATCCAGTCGGAGAAAGTTGGTGACCCACGATGGAGCAGTGTGGGTAATGCTGTGGCCCGTGGGAGGGACTCACGTCGGAGAAAGTTTGTGGAGGACTGTCTCCTGTGAGAGGGGGACCACAACAGAGCAAGGTGAACAAGTTCCGGAAGCTCGCCCCACCGAAGGTGGAAGAAGCAGCAGCGCTGACTGCACCCCCCATCCCCTGCCCCTGCGCCACTGGGGGAGGAGGTAGAGATATCGGGAGCAGAGCTGAGCCTGGGAAGAAGGGAGGGTTGGGGGAAGGTGTTCTCAAGATGTGGCAAGGATTCTCACTGTCCTACTCTGTTAAGTATTGTTGTTAAGTGTCTGTAATCAATGTGTGCTCTTTTTTTCTTCCCCTAACGAGTCTTCCTTTTGCTCATAACCATAATGGGTGACCTGCCCCTCCCAGTCCTATCTTAAACCCCAAGCCTGGCTCATTCGTCCCTTCTCATTGCCAGAAAAGAAGGGGGAGTGAGTGGCTGTGTGATGTTCAGCTGCCAACCAGGCTCAAACCACAACACTGTGAAATCCATGACATAACCCTCCAATCCAAGTAAACTACCAGAAAAGTTGCAGATTTAACTAAAACTCTCTCTCTTTCTTTCAGGGATATGATTGATAAGATAAACCATACTTAACTGAACTCAACTTCAGCAGGTGAAAATAGTCAATTTTTTCCTAAATACTCAAGCTATTCATTTTTTTTTTTTCTTGACACCTGCCCAGAGCAAGCCTCTGGGATGCATGAAAACGATGGACAAACTCTAATAATGGGTAAGAATCATGAATCTTCTTGTGATAGGAGTCATCATCTCTTTGCAAACTCCTTCCATAGCTGGGGTGTTCTGCTCTACAAGAGATGGCACTCCTCTTCTAATGATGATGTCCTAAGACTGAAAATAAGACCTTTGCATTGTAATCCTGGTTCTAACGCTGACACTCATTGCCAGTTTCTCATCAGTTCCTTCCGTCATTCTACTCTAATTTCAATGCAGTAAAGGATAAACAGTGTTAACAATTGCGACTTTACTGTGGTAATACTACATATGTCATTTCAGTCTTTGGTAACTAATGACTGGGGGCGGTGAGGGGAGGGTGGTTTCTGTATACTTATATGTACAAGGGAGAGACTTGAGTTCATTAAATATAAAAAAATCATACTCAAAGACTCAGAGCTCAGCAACCTATAGACTCTCTGCTTCTTTGAAAAATAAACTCCTTGCAAGGGCTTTTTTAAAGATTAAGGACTTTAAAGATTAGATTTTTAAAGATCAGTCAATTATATAATCAGGATACGCAATTTTAGCAGAGTCCCACAGATTCCACCTCTTTGATGTAAACCTCAGGTTTGAAGTTTTCCATCAAAAATTATGCAACTAAACTTTCTTTAGATCCTCAGATTTAGTTGACACTTAGAAATGTAATACATAGGCAGGAGCTGCTTTAACACTGAAGTAAATGACATGTCTGTACTGATGTATACACACAGTTAGAATAGAATGAAGCAGCATCATGGAGAAGGTATGACCTGATGACTGGTTCAAGTGCATTCGAACTCAGCATCTGGTACAACAGCTTCACTGTGACTTTTAATTTGATTTAGAAGGATCTGAAAATTCCAACAAATCAAAATATATAATATATAATATCTTATCTACCACCAGTCAAATTAGTAGCAGCCAAGCCTATCCTGGAATGCATTACTTTTGTAAAGGCCATTCTCTTCAAAGAACATTGAACAAAACAGTCTTAGAAAGAAAGTCTTGGTAATTTCTCATTAAATCAAAAGGAAAAATCAGCAAAGTACTAACTTGAGTGCAATTTTATTTGAAGAAAATAATTTTGCATAATTTTAGCAAAGCCAAACATAAGATCACAACAAAACATTCCACATGTTATTCTTCTGTTATATGTATTTGCTTTTCTTCTAGTATTAAATAATAAATGCTACTATACTTCCATTTTGGTTCAGATATGCTTAAGGAATAGTTAACAATAAGGTATTTATCAAGGTATTTCTTTTGTTAAGCTATTCTGTAAATTAAAACAAAAAGGGAAAGCAGTCACCTCAAGGTTTCTGTTGCACTTTTAAATTAACAGAGTACTAGCTATGAAATATATTTGCTTTATTAATAAAATGTAGAAGTAACCTTCACACAGGGAAGCAAGAAAACATTTTTAAGGTATAGTAAATGCCTTTTTTTCTTTACTGTTTAAGATAAGGAAGCATTTCAGTCTATATTTTCTCATCAACTGCACATTTCAAATGAAAAATGAATCTCCTCATGAACATACTCTAGAGTATAACATTCAGTTACTTAGCAACTTGTAGCACACATAGAAGATATGGAGTCAAATATGTCACCCTGTTTAATATTTTCTCCCAATCCATATGAATACTGTAGATATTTTTAAATTCTGCATTTGCCAAACAAGCAAGCTACCATATAAGCTATAAATCTCATGAAATCCAAGTGATACAGACAGCCTTCTACTTGTCATGACAGTCACGGAGACCTTAAATGGCAAAATGACAAATATGTATGCACCTATCTCCCCAAAACCTTAAATTTCCTTCTTAAAATATACCAATATATGATTTTTCCACAATTCAAGAAATTTTAGATTTTAATCTCCAACTCAGACAGTGCTGAAGAGGATACATCATGAGGCTATAGTAAGACAGTATAATTGGAAAGCACACATTACTTTGTAAGGCACTCTGTTTAACAGTCTGATCCACTCTGGGTGATTAAGCAAACTGATTTAAAAGAAAACAAGTACTATTATGACCTTGGCCTGAGAAAATCCTTTCTGTTACATCAATCTCCTGATACAGATGTAAGATGGAGTCTAATCCTTTTTTTTTTTTTTTTTAACATGAATTTATGAAATTCAAGTGATTCCTGAATGGTTTGTTCACCTACTGCATTATATGGAATTTTTTTTACATTTTGGAAAAACACACTACAGATATTTTTAATGTAGATACTTACAGGTACATGGACTTTTCTAAACATTTCAGCTCCTTTGCGTGCATCCAATAAAGCCACATCTTGCGGAGTGGAGATGATTACAGCTCCTGGGAAAAGAAAATATGAAATACCATTAAAATGTGTATTATTAATTACACTGTTAAATATTTTGACTATTTAGTACATGCTGCTAAATTCAAAGCAGTCACACATTTATATGCTTTTTAAAAATTTTATTTAAGGAAGAAAATTATTCTAGTTTTTTTATTATGCAAGGACCAAAATCACTGAGATATGATATGGAGTCATATAAATACTTTAGATATTTTCATCATCATGGTAGAAACCATTTATATTTCAGAAAATGAGAAAATGAGAAAATTGATCTAGCTGTCGTATGGCCATGGATAGAAGACAACATGGTCCACATGTTGACAGGTTGCAGAGGGGGTATTCTGGGAATATCTACACAGTAACTGCCCCATGCCATAATTACATGTGAAAGCTTTTGATTTAACAATAAGCTTTGATCTAAAATCAAGAGGCAGCTGCCTGTAACCAGACTGTTGCTTTCTGAACCTGCTATACTTTCTGATACAAGTGTTGACAGGCACAGTCTTGAAACATGTTACACTAGACACAACACCAGTGTGTCTGTATGAATGATACCACAAAATAAGAGGCCAGCTCATGCACATTTGCAGTAGGTTTGAAAAAAGTAGAGTATTGCTCACTGTTCAGACATGGCTCCAAGTTACACGATAATCGGTACTCCCAAGAGTTATTCAGCATATAAAACAGCTAGAGCTCTTTGTCAAAGGTTAGATTCTAAAGTAAACCTACAGGTTACTATTCTATACTGCTTCTTGATTAATACAGTCTGCAAAACCAATATACACATTATAATATATCACATCACTTCACAAGGAACATCTTTTTGCATATGCTCAGAGGTTTCAAATATTATTTGTTTGAAACTTGTGTCAAGAATCTGCTCATGCTTGTCGCTATTTTTGAAAAACGCAATATAAAAGAGGACACTACTGGTCAACCGATTAGCTCTGGTTTCACACTGACCATCCAGTCTTCAAAATACCAGTTACAATAACATCTCTGCAGAGCCACATTAAGCCAATCTTGCATGAGAAATTTATGCCAAACTTCATGCAAATAGCAATTACAACAGACAACTTCAGACGCATGGGACAGCTTCCTCCTGGGCCCGTGGTCCCCAGCCCTTGGTGTACACAGCAAAGGAGGAGGTGGGTAGCTTTCCAGAGGCACTCACACTGGCACCGCTGGCACAGGCTGGTGCTCCGGCAGCGCTGGGACGGGGAGCCCCGGCCCCACGCCGCCTGCCAGCTTGCCTGTCTGATGGCCAGCCGTTTCCAAACACCGCCTGACAGAGCGTTTCAATGTTTTCAACCAGCACTCTTAACCTCTAATTTGTGAAAGAAAAATACAATCTGGCGCCTCACTCCCGAAAAGCTGCCAAACCCTGCCTTACATAATATTAGACACAGGTCCAAAAACTGAACGGCATATGTAATGTACTGAGCAAATGAAATTTCCCTATTGTTCGCTAAAACTCTGGCATCCGAATAATTTGCTGTTTTTCCCAAGCCACCCTGTTTCCAATGGCATCACAAAGAATAACATGGGAGCATTTCAGTTACATCCAAGTCACCTCAGCTCCTCATTTCACTTAGGGCTAAGCTTTACACCTGACATTGAAATTAACGTAGGGCTAATTCCACAAAACGAATGCACCCTTCCCTAAAAGCATAGTCCATAGGTAAGTAATTTAGATTGAATGTCCTCAAGTTTTCTGCATATTTGTAAAACAAAGATCGTTCAATACTTGGACAAAATGCTAATTACTGCTTTCTTTTCAAACAAAACTGGAAATTTCTGTCTTAAGCATATACACTCATGTTAGTTCTTTCACACTTCTGTTCTCACTCTTCTCTAAAGATCCTGGCTCAGCATTCCCTGAAGTCTGCATTTTCCAGTCCATTACTGATTTTTTTAAGAATCCAGTAATTGGCCTGGCATGAAGGACAGAGACTATGCAAAATGAAAACCCCCACTAGAATCACAAGCAGCCTATCCAAGAGGTACTTTTGACCAGCAAATTCTCATCCAAAGCAAAAAAGCTAAAATGCCAAAAAGACCCAATGGCGTGTTGCAGAGTTTAGGCTGCCACAAACACCAAATCCCTGAGCAAAGAACTGTGGCTTCTGAAATACATGAGTTAAAATTACGCTTGTGGACAACTTGCATGGCTTCTTCCACAGAATGAAAGCCAATGTGCTCGAGAAGCTGATGCTGAGGGTGTAATAAATATGTCTCTCCTACTTCCTTTTCACTCTTAGTTGGATTCCAGACAAAATTTATTCACAGCCAGCTTATACTGACTTATGCCACCACTCTTTAAAATAGGTATCTTTTCTCTTTCTTTGGTACAACTGCTAGCCCAGCAAACTCAACCTTGAAGTTCAAGAATTCAAATTACTAGCAGCATTATTTCCTTCACTAGCAACCAAATAGGGCAAACAAGATTTTTCATGGTGTTCCCCTCCCCGAATAAGTTTGCATACGTTTAATTCAGAAAGTGATTCAAATGATGAGCAAGAAAGAACACAGCCCACACTTTCTTTGCTATCTTAGCTCCACACTGGTTAATAGGAATATCCAACAGTAAAGAGTTATTTTGATCAATAAAGAAATATGACTGAATTCATGCACACAGCATGCATCTTGAAGAAATACGTGCAATGTTTACACAAGCCTCTGTCTGAAAGAGGCAAACTAACGCTGACAAATTGAACAGAAGTTGCAGAAACTATCATGCTATCACACTGCACATTAAAACATACTACAAACTCTGTTTGCAGTTGTGTGCAGAACAATTTTTGTGTCTTCAGCATACTAAGGATATCTCAGTTGAGCACATTTAAGCTTAACTGACATGACTACTTATTCATGCATTTCATTTATTTTCATAACTTCACTGTATTGCAGTTGACAAAAAGCTAATGCATGCTACATTAGTAAGAACTATGCTAACTATATTTTTTTATCATTAGCATGCATAATACAGAGAGGCAGAACTAACAGTAGTAGCCTGTAACGCTGATGTTTGCCTTTCTGTTTTAACCCCAGGTCCTTAATCCTCAGTAAAAGAAAAGTGTGCATACACATTGGTACTCACCCTTCTAGTGGCTTGGTATTAAGGAAATTACAAGTGCTGAAACATCCTATAATTTCTGTGTATATAAAATATCACCCATGTTGGCTGCATCATTAAGGTTTGCATCAGATGCTCTGGGTTACAAGACATAATGTGGAATCTCTCTAAGCCTTAGCTATAGCCAATTTGTATCCAAGCGAAAAACAGGCAGGTCTAAAAAGCAGCTGATTAGCAGCAGTTAAGAAGGGCTACCTTAGGATGAAAAGGATCCCTCTAACATATTCTTTTTTCCCTCCAGTGTCTTCGAAGAGACTTCAGAACCAGGCTATGTGCATCTCATCCAGACCAATGATTAAGGACTCCTCCACACTCAAGTATTGGACTGTGTCTTGTATCACCCTGACTGTTATTAATTTAGCAAATAATGCCAGCCCAAAACCTGTGGAGTGAAGTGTAACTGACCAGGTGACAAACAGAGTTCTGGAGGATAAAGACACAGAAAGATATACTGTATTTTTCTAATAATTGCATCTGCTGATTGACAGGCACTGAACACTCTTGCAAGGAACCACATTCAGGCCTCAGTGCAGCTGTCGATGGCCTGACCTGACTACACCACTCACACACTCTTGTAGCTTTTGCCACCTTTTCCAATGTATTAATTTCAAACTTCTAGGTGAGACTTTCAAGTTATAAATAGCCTGGTGAATCTGAATCTTCTCCACTGCAGATCTCTTCAGTGTCCCCCTCACCTTTTGTTAAATGTCTTATTACTTTACAGGTGAAATGTGCCTGCAATTACAGATACAGTTTGCACTTGAAGATGCAGAACAAGATCTTGCAAGAACAAAAACTCATGTCTTTGCTCGAATTTCAGCTGGTGATAATTACAGATACATTAACACTAGAAAATTGTCCATCTCCTTGAATAAAACTTGTAAAGAAGTTCCTTTACCTTTTGTGTGTGAGATCTCATTACAACTAGCAACATAAAGGAACCATTAGTGTGATTTTCCCTTAAGGGATCTATACTTGAGACTCGTAATATATCTCAGAACTGTCCCAGAGGCTGGATCCTGGCTGTGTCTCATCTCCAGCCTGATCACCAACTTCTTCTTGGAGGAGACTTTGAACAACTGCTCAGCCAGTGTATGTCTCCAACAGCCACGTATCTTCTGCTCACGAACTAGCAGGTAATTAAAGACTGGAACACTACCACCTTGCCCACATGAAAAGAGGACATAAGTCTTACAGCAAGCTTCTTCCTCCTGGGAAGAGGAACTGTCAGTGAAACCACTGAGCAGAGGAATATCACCAGATGGATAAAGCAGCCACCCTGAAGTTAAACTGCCCTCATCTAACTGATCAGTATTATAACATCCTTTTCACACTACTTTCTCACATGGAGGAAGATGTGGAAAAACAACTGTTGCTGTGTTAAAATGCTTGGGTTTGGTCATGGCAAACAATACATATGTCACACTAATCCAATTTACTGTGCAATATGCATTCAGCAAAGCAAAACCACTGAAAACAGTTGTAATAACATCTGTGATTAAGCATTATTTGCAAAGTACAGGCATAAAACAAAAAGCTACTCCCTCACAGACACTCTACCACTTTCCACTTCTTAGCATTTTTCTGCTCTACTCCATTGCACCTCCTGCTTTCAAAGGGCATTTGCCAATCACGTCCAGATTATAATGAGCATTGTACTAGGCAAGAGCAAAGTCCAAATAGTCTCTTTTGACAAGTGAATATGGGTTTTTTTAAATGAGAGGTGTTAATTCAAAGAGGAGAACTGAGTAAAAGAGTGATTCTACTACAGAAAAAGAGACAATGCTGAGACTACTTCAATCACCTCCAAAAGCCATTCTGTTTTCTGCCTTTTCCCCCCAGAGGTGGGGGTGCTAA